ATTAGGTTTAATCCAGATAAACCACAATATAAAGAAGATCATGTTAAATATGTAGGGTTAATAATATCTAAAACTGGAATCGAAGCAGATTCAGAACAAGTAGAAGCCATTTCAAATCTAGAAAGACCAAAAAATGTCAAATCTCTTCAAAAATTTTTAGGAATAACAAACTATCTCAGTAAGTGTATTCCTAAATACTCAGAATCAACCTATCCTTTAAGACAACTTTTGAAAAAAGATATTTTTTGGGAATGGGGTGAAGACAATGCATTCAAGTATATTAAAACAAAACTTAGCCGTTCACCTACTCTGAGTATATTAGATAGAAATAGTCCAATTGTACTCCAAACAGATAGTTCTAAAATAGGAATGGGAGCTTGTTTGATGCAAAATGGACAGCCAGTGTCCTTCTACTCTAGAAGTTATACTGATAGTCAAGTCAGGTGGGCAACTATAGAAAAAGAATTATTCGCCATTTGTGCAGCTGTAGAAAAATTTTATCAATTTATTTATGGTCGAAAAGTGATTGTTGAAACAGATCATAAACCACTGATTTCAATCGTCAAAAAAGACATGAATGAAATGAGTGCTAGACTTCAGAGAATGATACTCAAACTTCTGAAATATGAGCTAGACATAAAATACATACCTGGTAGTAAAATGTTCATCGCAGATTTTTTGTCTAGGAACTATAGCACAGACAATGCAAAAAATGATCCAACTCTAAATGGCATTGAACATTGCTTGGGAAAAGACTTACCAATTTCAGATTTCAGATTAAATCAGCTATCTCAAGCAGCAGAAAAAGATAAAAATTATCAAACAAATAATACATTGGTACAATGATGGTTGGCCAGAAAATGATAATAATATCTTTGATAAAGAACTGAAAACATATTACAAACTTAGAAATGAAATACATGTGAAAAATAATGTGATCTACCTGAATAAGAAAGTTGTAGTACCTGTTTCGTTAAGACATGAAATGTTGAATCTAGTACATGCGGGACATTTTGGTATGACAAAATGTAAAAAACGTGCTAGAAGTTTACTGTACTGGTATGGAATGTCATCTGATATAGAAAAAATGGTGAGCTCATGTAAAACATGTGATAAATACAGACCAACAAATATAAAGGAGCCCTCAATTCCACATGATAGTCCATCACTACCTTTCATGAAAATAGGTATGGATATCTGTTATTATGGAGGGTATGATTATTTAGTTTTGATTGATTATTTATCCAAGTGGATTGAACTAAAATTATTGAAAGATAAAACGGCAGAATCAGTCATCTCAAAGTTAAAAAATATTTTTGCTATTCATGGAATACCAAAAATAATTGTTAGTGACAATATGCCCTTTGCAAGTCGAAGGTTTAAAAGTTTTGCTGATAGTTATGATATAAGTTTGGTGCATTCAAGTCCGCGTTATCCAAAATCGAATGGTCTTGGTGAAAAAGCAGTAGGGATAGTTGAAAATATGATGAAAAAGTGTAAAGACAGTGGTTTTGACATACATTTAGCTTTACTTAACTATAGAAATACACCGGTAGCAGGACTTGACTGTAGTCCAGCACAAATTTTAATGAGTCGAATATTACGTTCTAATTTACAATATACTGAACAAATACTTAAACCAGAAATTGTAAAGGATGTCAGGTATAATTTGTTAGTTGGGCAAAATAAAACAAAAAAGTATTATGATAGGAATGCTTATGAAAGGAAAAAATTTGAAGAAGGGGATGATGTAACAGTGCAGAGTTCTACTAACAAAAATTGGTCTCCTGCCAAAATTATAAAGTCACATGGTCCTAGGTCATTCATAATTCAAAAAGATAATGGAGATATTGTCACGATAGGAACCAAAAATATTCATAGCTACTATTCAAAATTATATTGATTCAAGATTCATTAATAAAAGTTCATTATTCATTTTATCGTATAACATTCGATTAAAGGAAACGAGTATAATGTTTCACTCACGTTGGCAGCTCATTCAACCGGAATGAAATACCCGCATATGGAGTAAAACGCTGACTATATCAAAATATTCTAAATAAATATCGAACAGCCGATAAGGCAAGGCATCAGTTTGGATCTGATCAGCTAACCTTCACTATGGTTCATCCCCTGCATCTGCTAGAGATTATTTTGTAAGTACTACTGTCACAATCGTTATGTTGTCAAACTATCAAATGTTTCTTTTCATTGCGAAGTCTGATGTATTTACGTTTGCATTGAATCTCGTTTGTTAAAATCACTGATGAAACTAATTTCTTTCAATAAACTGTAGCTCTATAACGAACAACTGTTTTGATTTCTCGGCCTCCCAAGCGAGTTCACCCCCGAGTCACCACCCTGTAGCAATGGGTCGTGACATTATGGTGGAGGCGCCGGGGTCGATAAATTAGATTGAATAATTTGAAAAAATTTCAGATAATTTCTTATTCCGTTCTCAGCACCATCACTAGAATGACTTGTATGACTATCAGCCAGATAAATTTCAATTATTTTCGAGGATGGCGTTAAAGAATAGACCAGTTATAATTTATTAGCATTATTATATTCAATATATTTAGTTGAGCTGTAGCTTTGTACTCAATTTATTTTTTTTGTATACGTGCATAAAGTACGTGAACAAGAGAAAACTATCCCAGTATTAACTCAAAACGTATAGATCGAGAGTCGTGTCTCTTCATTTTGGCAAGCCTTTGGCTGCAGGGACCAACTCTTCGAGATCTACCCACGTGCGAGTTAAACTTCCGATTAAGAATGTATTTCCTCTCAATTTAGTGGGACTTTGTCTTGCGGGGAAAACATTCCTTAAGGGTACACACCATACTCGTGTGGTTCCTAAGTCGTGAAGCAGGGGTAATTTTTGAATGGTTTAGGTAATTTTTGCATGTTAATGGAATACGTATCGTACATTCATGGGGCGTGTGAAAGCAAATAAGGAACGCAGGGAAAAACGACGTATAAAAAGGGTTATAGATATATCAGGAATAGTTGAGGATAGAATGAAGATTGGAACTGGTATCCCCCTTACCCCTAGAGCTTTCAGAATAGGAGATGATATTCCAGAATTAAGAATATTAGAGAGTAGCACAGTGCCAAATAAAACAAATATAGCTACAGATTTTTCAATATGGTGGGATATAATTGAAGATAGAATAGATGAAAAAACTGGTTTACCATTAACGCCTAGAACGAAAATAATTTTTGATGAAGTGCCACAATTCAATTTTGATGAAATAGTGAGTAGGAGAACTGTTGTTTCTGACACTGAAACATCATCAAAAATTACACAGTTGAAGGAAAAATCCATGAAGTTATTTGGTGATGATGATTTGGAGGACTTAGATGTTGAATTTCTGAGGAAATGATTTAAGTCTCGTAGCCTACATTAATAATTATACCTCATAGTTTGTGAGTACACTCAGACCTCAATTAGATGTATGATTTTTTGCAAACTGAATACATATTGAATGAATGAATATAAATATTGAAGTGACAATTCACCTTAACATAATTCTTGTTTCACCCTGACATGATATAAACACGAGTATAAACGAATATATCTCATAATATAAGCATATCTATTCTATATCTCGAACCTTGACGCGGTTAGTATATTCTTTATGTCAAATAAACCAGAAAAAAGAATCACACGAGCCTCAACAAAACCTAGCAATTTGAAAATTATCATAGGAAACGAAACATTCACTCCAGCGGGTAGTAGTACTGTTATTTTTGACGAACTCGATCCAGACCCTTTCAAAAAGAAATCGAAATTATCAACCTCTCCACAAGGACTGCGTCAAATTGATGCAGGGAACGCCAGGCCACTGGTAGGAGAGCACAAGACCGGAAGTGGGGACCTACAAGACCAGAATGTCAGATCACCAATAATCGAAACGGTTGGAGCGTGGGCGTTACCAACAAAGGCAAATAATATTCCTGTTGAGAATAGGGAAACTGTTGAAAACAACGTACTAATTAGAAATATCCAACAGAAGACTGACTTGGAGGCAGTGAGAAACACACTACGGTTTGCAGAACCACAACAGCAGAGTAGTGAGAACGAAGTCCACGGACCGGAAGGCGTACACAACTCAAACGTCGAGTCGGACGACGAGTCGGACGCCGAGTCGGACGCCGAGTCGGACGCCGAGTCGAACTTAGGCAAGCTCGAGTGGAATTGCAGATTAACCAAGACAATCTACCAAATATGGCAGACACAACTTTGAGGGGCAGCCTGGACGCTGAGGAAACACCAGCCCGACCAAATTTTCTATGCCCAACCACTTTCAACCCTTGTACGGACAATCCTATTTCATTCATAAAACAATATGAAAGAACCAGTGCAGCAAATGGTTGGAATAATCAGATGAAAATTGCATATTTCCAGTAATTTTTGGAGGGTGCTTCGAACCATTGGTTTGAAAATTATAAAGGAGACGCCGCAAATGATAATAAGGAATGGGCAGCAGTTAAAACGGACTTTCTAGAGGAATTTGGCACAGGGGATATAAAACGTACTCTGGAAAGGAAGTTATACAACAGAAAACAGGGAGAGAACGAGTCTATACGAGAGTATTATTTCGATCTCCTTAAATTATTTGGAGACTATGACCCTGAATTAGATATTGAAGAATTCAGGAAGTTTTTCGAAAATGGAATTGATGAGGATTTATACGTACATTACCGACTCACTTTGGACGAAGACGAATTGACCTGGAGGAAATTCAAGAAAATTGTGGATAAGTTAGAAGACATATCTCAAAAAAAAGGGATTCGAAAAATAAGTTGCTCGCATTGTCCCCCCAAAGAACCACAGATGGAGGAACACACCAACGTTGAACGACGAACGGATCAAAGACCTCCACCTCAACAGAGGGTCAATTATCATAATTCGCGAGGTTATAACTATAATACGGGTAATAATTATAGACAGCAAAGTAATTGGCAACCCCAAAATAGACGATTTCAAGATAATTATGACAGACGACCACAGCACAATACCCCAAACCGTTGGGGACATTATAATTCGCCACCCACACCAGGGCAAGGGTATAATAGACCTGCTGGTAGAGCCAATAACTGGAATAGACCGGCATGGGTGAATGGAAGAAACCATGATAATACTCAGGCGCAGCAAAATTACCAAAATAACCACATCACTCAAAGACAAAATTATGAGTTCCCAAATACAAGGAACCAAGATGGAAGACCTAAATGTTTCAACTGCGGAAGGTTAGGTCATTTCCAAATCGCATGTAATTTTCGGAAATCAGAATCCCCAAACGCAGGTGGACGTCACGAATAGTCCCCGATGTCGTCCTATCTACACAAGGGGCCAACCATGATCAGAAAATCCGAGATAATATCCTAACCATAAGTGCCTTTGTAGAACATTTTGGAAAAGTTACAGCCCTAATAGATACAGGATCGCAACGTAATATAATTCGAGGAGACGTCATCAGAAACAATGAAATCACGGAAACTACATGTAACTTGCGGGCAGCAGGCGGAATGAGGGTTCCGTTATTGGGTAAAACCAAATTCAAATTAGGAATCAACAATTTTTCTACTGAATGTGAAGCTGAGGTAATTGAGAAGTTACCGTATCATTTGATTCTGGGAATGAATTTTTGACAGAATACAAAGCGATTTTGAATTTGGATAAAGGGATGGTCACTCTGAAAAGTAATGGGAAAATTACAGAAATTCGCATCAGATCAGAATCTTGTACGGCACTAACAACGAATTTTAACCACAGCTCAACTGACTCACTATCATCACATATCTGGTATGAAGCCTATAAAACTGAATGTCTCTCGAATATCAAATTAATTTGCGAACTCAGGAATTTTTTGGAAGGACAACAAAAATCAAATATTGGGAACGATAACTGTTTAACTGCTGAATGTCCAAAAAACGAATCGATAATCGAATCAACTGTAGAACATGAGGTGGATAACTTAGAGAAAATTTTGAGAACCTACAACCCAGATGAAGAAATCGGAAGCGCTAGAATAGAGGAGGTCATAATGGAACAAGTAGAAATCCCTACAAACTATATTCGAGCATATTGGATACCTACCAATTTCGAACTACGAGCGGACAAAAGACGAAAACATTTCACAAAATGCATACTACTTATATTATCTAACAGAAACCGGTGATAATAGAATTGAAAAGCTGAAATATATCTGGAAATCTATTACACATTTGAAGGACAAAATATCAAGTGAAAACGTGAGGAAACTGGCAATTGAGAAAATTACAACTCGAGATGACCTGAAATGGAAAGATATGGCAATTGAGAAAATTACAACTCGAGATGACCTGAAATGGAAAGATATGAGAAAATTGATATTTCACGTATTCAAAGATATAGAGATTGATATTTTGATCTATCAACTGCCAGAAGAAGTGACTATTACCGATATGAAACATCCATTGATACACGATACTGATTCAGAAACAAAAAGAAGATTACACCTAATGCACGAAAAAAATGATGATCCAATTAAAATTGCGATTTTGGAAGATTATACCTTGAAACCAGAAACCATCACCGTAGTGGAATGTTCATTGAAAGGCCCACTAACCGAATCAATAAATGAGACAGTGCAGAAAATGGATTTTCAACAGAATGAAAAATTACTTGTTCCAAAAAAGTTATTAGGGAAACTGGGGCAGGTTGAAACACGGGGCACGTTGAAACATTTCAAATTCCGCGGAATTTTCGCAACTGTATGGTGGCAACACAGAAGTTATGTCAGTTAGTTTGTAAACACATATCCTGCCGTGGAATTCAGCGTCATTGCAAGTTTGGTTGTTGTGTAGGGCGTATTTGAGTGTTCTCAGGTGAGAAAAGTAAATATTCTGCATGATATTCTCATGACAATATAATCGGCGCCTAATTTTTTAGGATATCAACTAAATTAGATCATTAATATGTATCATATGCCATGTTCATCTCTACGGTTATGATTCAAATTAGTGATGAAATTTCGTAATAATGATACATAAAAGCGTTGAAAACGTGATTGGGGTACAATGAAACAAAATAAATGGGGTAGGTTGAACCGTTTCAAGCCAGAGAAGCTTTAGAAAAAGCAAACAAAAAAGAAATCCGCACCAGAAAACTGAAACGCAAGGTTTTTGACTCTCCCAAAGATGAAGATTCAGACTCGGATCTAGATTTTGCTTCAGAATCAAGTTTGGATGTACGATAAAGATTTGTTAGAGATAATTTTATTTTTCTTGTTCTAGAGTTGAAGGCTTGTTAATTTTGTGTTCCTTTAATGAAATTATTTTAGGTTTTTTAGATATTTGTAACACTTGTACCTGTTTCATATGGTTGTGAATATCATATTCGTGCGTTTTCGAATTAAACTCAATTTGATGAAATTGAAATATGCATTATTTCATGAAATAAAATGATGTTTCAACCTGCCCCCTACAAAATCATCAACTGTTACAACCTGCCCCGAGCATGGGGTTCAATGAAACAAAAACATGTTCCAACAAAAAAATTGCTTCGCCCGTATTTCTTTCATTCAGCGGAATTTCAACAATATGCAATTGTACATAACAGAGTAACTGTCATTTCCTATTTTTTTCAGAATTTTTCACTAGAAAATATGACAACTAGGAACAACTATATATTTTTTGTTCCAACCTGCCCCAGTTTCCCTACTCAATAGCGATTTGATATCAAACAACGACAGGTTATTTGTGGAATTAGTAAATAAAACATTTTGTGACCAGAGGATTATGAAAAACACAACAATCGGATACCTTGAGCCAAAAGACCTTGAGCCGTCCGAGAACGATATAGTTTTGAACTTCTTTCAAGGAACAGCAGATGGAATTTCTCTATCCGATCACAATCTGGACCATATCGAAGATGAAGACTTCAAACAAAAATTATCTGATTTGCTAGATGAATTTTCGCATGTATTTTCTAAAAACAATGGACAAATGGGCCTGACAGATGTAGCAGAACACCGTATTGAACTTGCAGAGGGATCTAAACCGATTAAATCACGACCATATAGGGTGAGTCAAAAAGAGAGGGAGATCATAGATAAACAAATTCATGAAATGTTGAAAGGTAATATAATCAGAACAAGTCAATCCCCTTGGGCTTCTCCTGTCGTATTGGTGAAAAAGAAGGATGGTACAACGAGATTCTGCGTCGATTATAGAAAACTAAATGGTGTCACAGTGAAATCAACTTATCCAATACCAAACTTCGATGAAATATTAACATATACAGGGGGAGCACAATATTTCAGCTGTCTCGACATGTTCAGCGGATATCACCAAGTGAAAATAGAAGAACCTTCTAAACCATATACTGCTTTCATTGCCCCTGAGTAGTTAAACTAGGACATCATGACTACAGGCATAGGGAAATACACGCTTTAATCTTAACTGGAACGCGGCCTGTGTTCTAGCGGGGAAGTGGGGTAGCGGGAGCGCGAGCTTATCGAAACCGCAACAATAACACTTTAATGACAATAACAAGATTGAATTTTCATATACAGGGCGTTTGAGTTGATTGAAAATTGGAAAAAATATATACAGAGTGTCCCACAGTTCGCGGTCCCATGTTTTAGCATGGAAGAAGTGTTTGAGTTGAAATAAATATATACAGGGTGTTTGAGTTGATGGAAATTGGAAAAAATATATACAGAGTGTCCCACAGTTCGCGGTCCCATGTTTTAGCATGGAAGAAGTGTTTGAGTTGAAATAAATATATACAGGGTGTTTGAGTTGATGAAGATTGAAAAAAATATATACAGGGCGGCCCATGGGGGTGAAAGAATACGAAAACGAAGATAAATAAACTATTTATTTGAGTAATCCTTTTCTACAAAAATGACATGCCTCTTGAGAAGATGGCGGTCCATCCCAGTGTGTGGTCCAATCGGGACGATTATAATGAACGAAGCATGGCAGTTTGATTTGTAGGTTAAAGTTGCTGCGATATTCTTGAGGAAGTTTGTGCCACACCCTTAATAGCCCATAAGGATCTGCATATTCAATGAGACATTCTACTGGAATGTACTGCAATTCTTGTTCAGTGAATTTCGTCAGAGTCAAAGCGGGAGATTTTATAAACTCCAATAGCACAGCTATTTCAGACTTCATGATTTTTCGAGCAGAGCTAAAATATTTCAGATGCTACTAGTTTCGCGTCAAGTTGTAGACTGATGAAATAAATAAAAAACGAGTCACATATTTCACAGGCATTTATTCAAATCAGCTATCAAATCATTTTTACAGTAATATAGATATTCTCTGAGAGCGTTACTAGACATGCTATCGCAAACATCACAAAACCCTAATATAAGTTCTTGTGCACTCAAAACAGTCAGTTTATTTTTTATCCATTCAGCTATTACATTCATAATATTCTGATAAAACATAAAAAAGTCCAAGTCATTGATTAAATTAACTCGATGTGAAACAATGCACATTTCAGCACTCAAAATGTCTGCAACATCTTCTTCCATCAGATCGAATATGACGTGGTATTTGGAGAGGGTCAACATTTTGACACCATCGCAGACATGTTTGGCTACGGTAGCATAGTCTCCACAAGCAGTAATGATCGGCTCATATTCATCAATAAAACCAGGTAGGGGTTGTTCAAAAAAGTCTTGTTGTGTCTTATGCAGCAAATCGATGAAGGTGGCCCATTCGTAAGTACTGAATGAAATTTTCGCTGGGTAGAAGGGCTTTTTCAGAATGATGGCCGGACTAAATTGTCTAGCTGGACTGAGTCCACACTGGATTGTGTAAGTGGACAACTGGAACGATGTATTCAGCAGGTGGTGTGATTCGGCTTTCGCTGCTTGTTCAATCATGTCCAAATATGTATTGACATCACCATAATAACCCATCATTGATGATGATGATCTAGAACTACCGTCTTCGAAAAGCACTTCACTAGATGAATAACCAGAGTCTTCACTCATTGTTCTCGAACTGATGTGTTGAAAGTTTCAGTCCTCATTATTTATACCATAACTGTTGACTGATCATAACATCCGGCAGATTGGAATAACAGGTTATTTGTTAGTGATCGATGAAAGGCCC